TATTCAGTTATAGATATTGATTTCTGATTGGAACTACTCGGACAGTCTAGCTGCATTATTCAGTTATAGATATTGATTTCTGATTGGAACTACTCAGACAGTCTAGCTGCATTATTCAGTTATAGATATTGATATTATTTGTTTTTGTATAGAACATTTTCATAAAAAACTGATTGTCTTCACAACCAATTTTATCTTCAGTTTGCTTTTATGTGCTGTTTTGAAGTGTATGTGAAATTTCAAACAGTTTTCCTACCACACTTTTTCATGGCATCTACATGAGTTATGCCTTTTAGAATTTATTTAAAGTTTTACAGTTGCTAAAATTGTATTTGTTGACTATATGTACATTGCATATGCGTGCTGCTGTACTTAAACATCATGCAGTAACTTTTTTAAAATAATTTAGCATCAATTCTGTTTTAATAGGAAGAAATAAAGGTATTCAGGTGAGGTCTTAATGATTACAGGTTTCAAATAAACTTTTACAACACTTTATACTGTAAGGTTTCATCTGAATATGTGAACACAAGCATTTATGTTTTTGTAAAATTTGTGCTTATGGGTATTTATAATTGCTTATTATTTTAAGTTTTGCCACTTTAAATCTATAGTAGTTTTATGAAACCATTATGCAAACCACAGTATTTTCTCACTAAGAGTATTCCCAATTGAGTGCTGATATGTCTTCAGTTTAGTTTAAATCAAATAATTTAAACCCCGATTCTCAGTTGATAAAACAATTTAATAAAGTAAAATAAATTTTGTTTGTCATTTCTACAGATACTTATCAGTTTACAAAGTGTCGTACAAAAGAGGTACTAAAATGTCATTAAGTCACAGGCCATATCTTCGCTCAGGTCTGGCTCGGACTCTCTACGATCGAATGATGAAAGAGGAGGAACTGAAAAGCTTGGACAAATCTCAGGTTTGTCGCTTAGATTTTTAGGATTTTATTAATGTTTTATATTATGAAAGCTGTAGGAATTAACAAAGTGAAAATTCTAAGGATTGAAGTGTGTGAAATATTTTACAAAAATCCTAGAAAAATTATTGTAAATTTTAATTGCTGGTGCCATAAAAGATGTGGGGTTTCTCAGATAAATGATAGCTTTCGTGAGATATATTCTTATCAGGCTGCTAAAAGCTGTTGCAAAAATACTGAAACCTATTTTTAGAATTGAAGCATGATGATAACTTTTTTGTGAAACCAGGCCTTTATCCTCACAAACACCTGCAAGTCTTTCAAATTGCTAACTGTAAGACCTGCCAATGGAAAAAGGTTAAGTCTTAAAAATGAGTTTTCTGTGACAAAATTAAAAGTGACAATTGTCTGAATATGAATTTGGCAAATGTAGTAGAAAGAAAAAAATTCCGTGAGCACTTATCATGATGATCTTTGTGAAGTAGCCAAGTTTTGTTTTTCAATTATCCTTGGAAAGCCAAACCTAATATATTTGCTGCAATATTAATTCCTTAGTAATTTATTCATCATGCTTACAATAGTTCCTTAAACTTTACATGAACTTTGAAATTGTTTAACAAAAATATTTTATTATTTGTCAGAAGGATACCTGATGTAATTTTCATTCATAATTGTTATTGGTTTATTTCTGTTGTTCTTTCTGAGGTTTCTTAGCATATGTTAATATTAGTACTTGAAAGTAAAACGTAATTTTTGATGTTCAAGATAATCGCACCACCCATTTCCTTTGAGATATTACTCGAGTTTGTTTTCTGTATTCTGTCGGTAGTATCTATTTCATATGAAAATTTTATCTTTAGTTTCTGATTGCAGAATAAAAAAATTTTTTGGATACATGATTATTTGGAAAAAGTTTCTTAGTAAGAGTATTGGTATAAAATTCGTGCTTTTATTGCACTTATTACCAGATATTTTTTTTATTTGGTGTAATAAAGCAAAGTATTTTTTTATTAAATGTTTTTAATTTGTTCATTACGTTATTTCTAATTAGTTTGCATTAAACCCTATGATTAATATGGATTTCTTTGTAAACCTTTTATTTTTTAAAGATCATTAATGAATATATCATGAAAAGAAAAGCAATAAAATATCTGAAAAATATTTTAAATAAATACTGATGTTAATAGATAAATTCTATCTTAGTTGTTTAATATTGTATTACATTGTATAATAATCATCTCTTTATTTGTGTGATTTTAGTTTTAATGGTGATATGTCTTTCTGTTACACCTATAGTAGTTATTCTCTTCATAAAAAGTGTATGTCAATATAGCTGCTTCAGTCAAAGTGGCACTTTTTATCTCATTTTAATATTTCTCTTCTCTAAAAAATAACTTGCAAAGATGATTCCAAAAAATGTTTATCTGTGCGTACTTTATTGTAGATTGAGACAACTTGACTCTAATGGGAGTTAAGCTGATTTAGGCTTCTCTAAAGTCATTTAATTTTTGTATGAAGCTTTGTAGCAGTTTTTGTATTGGGTAAGAGGTCGATAAGCTTGTGTAAACTTTTAGGTGATTGAAACAGCTGTGCAATTAGAAAATCAATTTTGTATAAACTATGAGTCTGTGTAGATTATACAGGTAGATGTAAACTTATTTGAAATCATTTGAAAATTTTCTGATATTGTTAGATTATAAGTCTAACAATATATAATCATGGTTTACAAAAGTAAATTTTTAAACATTGGTGAAATTTTCACACAAGATAGCCTAGAATAAAGTAAAAAAGATATAGAAAAATCCAAATTGTACCAAATTACTAGGCTCCTGAATCTGAATTATGTGAAATATTACTAAATACTACATTTGGGATATGTCGATAATAACATACAACTGCATTTCAAACAGGTAGAAGAAAAACAGTCAATATATTAACTGACCACTACATTTGGGAGTTGTGGATAATGCTTGCCAAAATCATAAGAATGATAAATACTATAATTAGGGTTTGAAAAAAAAATGTCTCCTGTTTTAGGATATGGAGGAAATCACTGACCATTATAACAAGAATGTAATAGAGATGTCCAGATAGCATGTATGTAGAATATAAACTGGCTTTATGCGAAAGATTTCTGACCACATTGTCTAGGACATGTGAAGGATGGCAGGCCACTGTTTCAAACATTAATGCAGTGTGCTAAACTATTTTAAAATAGGTAATTTAAACAGCTATAAACATTAAGTGCAACATAGCTAATATTTTTATCTCCAGTATACTTGTCTATGTCTGTAATGGTACTATTATATTAAAAAGGATTAACCACGACAGTATACATAATTAAGTGTTCCCACTAATCTCATCCTTGGAGTAATATTGACATACTTTATACAAACTCTGAATTTGGGAAGAAATGGGACAGTTTCTATTGCAGTTTTTTTTTCTAAAAAAAATTTAATAATTATTATTGCATATTTAATTAAATAGGAAATTGTTTACAAAATGTATTAATGGGATATATTACTTTACTTTTCACAAAATGATTTGATTTTGTTCGGATTTTTTTGGTGCAATCTTGAGGTCTGTGTACCTAGATTTATTCTAGAGAAATATTCTTCAGATTACTAATATTCTAGCCATAGGGATGTGTATAAAGATTTAAAGTAAATTTTATTTGTGGGTGAGATATTACATTACAGGTTAATATTTTTTTTTTTACTGTTGTACTTTTACAATTTACCATTTAGCCATTTTCAATTTTATAGTGTATTTATATCTCCCAAGTTTTCAATTGAATTATTTTGGATTTAGAAGATGAATCACGGCCATATTTAGGAATAGTAATTTAATATTTTACTGTAAATATACAAATAATAAAGTTCAGTCAACTTGTAAGATTTACAGTGTAATATAGCAACTCCAGCAGCATCTTTGGGCACTTTCGTAAAATAATCATAATTCCAAATACCCCCTAGGTTCACGTGCTTGAACCCATAAAATAATAGTATACTTATGTACTAAAAAAATAATACAGTGTTTTCACTCACGAAGCCTAATGGGCCTGAGTGTGGCCTACTGGTTAGCATAATGGGGATTCTACGATGACTTGTTCCAGACGTGGTGCTACCAAATACGCTTCAAATTTTCAGCCGTGGTTGCGATATGAGTGACGATCAATCTCTCTATTCTGTTAAAAGTAGCCGTGTAGGCGGAGGGTGCTGCTGGCTGGTTGCCCTCCCTCAAAGACGAACATACGTAAAGGTGTTTTTAATATAATTGAGTACATGAAAACAAACGACAGACATATCCAACACCCATAAGATGAAACTACAAGGATTGAGATCATGAAACAAGTTAGGGCAAGCAGTTTCTCCTTCCTGTCACTGTGCGTTTTCAATTATTTAGTAAGCATAATCAGAACAACGTGTGCAGCATAGTGTCGGGCCTCATCTTGTTTGAACCATGTCTCTGACGGATCTATACCCACGCTCATTATGAATAAGATAAACTACACTTTCAAAATTTCAGTTATTGTTCAGAGCCCCACAACCCTACCTGATAGAGAACGTCTCTCACAATCTTACCTGATAGAGAACGTCTCTCACAATCCTACCTGATAGAGAATGTCTCTCACAATCTTACCTGATGGAGAACACATCTCACAATCTTACCTGATAGAGAACGTCTCTCACAATCTTACCTGATGGAGAACACATCTCACAATCTTACCTGATAGAGAACGTCT